TTCGGTAAGGGTATTAGCTTGGAGCAAGATGTCAGAAAATAATAAAAATCTATTGGTAGCTAATTCCACTGAAGCAAAATTCGAATCACTATAGCTTTGGGGGGGGGGGGAGTCTTTGACCAGCGGTGGATTGAGCTTGGCTGATAGAAGCTGAAACAACGATCTGTTTAGCCACCGAAGATTTAAATAAAATCACGTTTTTAATCCACCAGCCTTTCGGCCTTCTGCACTTTAGTGTTTCCCAGCAGAAGTTTGTTTAAAACAGAAGAAAGCCGTTGCCCAGCAGAGTGTGTACCCGTTAATCTATAGATGCTGTGGTTTCCTAGTGTTATAGGCAAGAGCTCTTCATGTTCATGTCCACAACCTGCTTGCCTCGGATCGTAAATAGGCCTGGGATGGGGGGGGAGGGAGTTATGCAGCAGAGGGAAAAGATGGATGGGTGGGTGAGCGAGTAGAGTAAGTGATCGAGTGAGTGAAAGAGCCAGTGAGTGACCGGGTGAGTGACCGGGTGAGCGAGTGAGCTGATGAGCAAGTGAATGGGCGCGGCCAGCGAGTAAGGGAACAAGTGAGTAATTGATTGAGCGAGCTAGTTGAGAGTGTGTGTGGATGGAATGTCATCAGCTGTGGCTGACTCGTGTGCATTTAGAACATTGATTCCCCACTGATCTCTTGTGCCACGAGTGTTGCTGAAAGTAGACGGTGCCCCTGTTAGCGGCTCCCTGGCTCGCACTCTGAACGCCTGACTGCACACACGGGGCCTGACTGACCCGATTGCTTTGTACTTCGGGGATTCCTAGAATTTAGTCAGGGTGCCCAAGACTCAAGAGGCTCAGCAATGCAGAGAGCTGTATTGCAGTGGTTCTCAACCTCCCCGCTTTGATGGACATCGCCATCAAGACTACTGGACAGAATACACAGACAGTATGATCATTCTTGTTGAAATAAACTCCAAAACTATTTTGTTTTACCAGGTAAGGCCCACTGAGCTGTATAGCTCTTTTTCAGATGCGACCTGGCCACAAATGGTAGCTCAATGGAAGTGGGCTTATACGTGGACTTTTCTTGCAGCCAAATACTCTAAATGCATGTTGATTGTAAATGTGGAGGGAAAAGCCAGAGGACCTGGAGAAAAATCCACACGACCACGGGGAGAACATGCAATCTTTAAATATACAACAGGCATCATCAGGGTCGGGATCGAACCCACGACCTCCAGCATACCAGGCGAGGTAGTTAACATCTCGCCACTGTGGCGCGCGCCCCAAGTCATCTGGCCATGTCCCGCTCCGCATCTTACTCCTGCGCATGAGCGTCATCCTCGCGGTCACGTTTCCTCCTTTGGCTGCCCTTCCAGTCCTGCCCATTGGCCACCATCATCAGCATCTCATCATCATTTCTACCCACGACATGGCCTGCCCGCGGCCATTCACTTTCGCTGGCAGTCCATTATTATTATTACTACTTCGGGCGCTAATGCATGCGCAAACACTCCATTTATTTACCTATGCTAACGAGCGAGGCTGGCCAATGAATGCTGGCGAGTGTGCTTCTCTGCCCATGGGAGATCATTAGCCGGCCGGTCCGGTTCGTAAACTGGTGGGGATCGTACCCCCCCCCCACTCCCTCCATTTGAGATGCCGCGCGCACCTGGTGCTGAGCAGCGAAATTAATGGATGGAGGTTGGGCCAGGCGCGTGCATCTGTGCGAGTCTGCGTGTGCGTGACGGAGAGGTGAGTGTTTGTTTGTGTGCGAGTTGAGTGTGTGCTTCGGGCGTGGTGCTGGCGACCCACCCCCTCGTGGTGTACCGTGCTGGTCTTCTTCGTTGCTTGCAAACAGCAATTGCCCTAACAGTCTGTTCTGGCTAAATGGGAGATCTTTGGCTTTTTGCTTGACTGAATGCAAGACATTGGTAGTGCAGTGTTTAGCGCGCTGCCCTACAAACCTGGCGACTCGACTTCGATTCCGGCTCACGGTCAACAGCATTGACGATTATCTGAACTGGTCCTGGGCCCTCCTCTAGGTTTGTAAATATCGCCACTTGGGAGACAAAGGCAGCCGAGGCGTTGTGCTGGCCACTCCCCCCACCCCCTTGTGTGCCGCGCCGGCAGCACTTGCCCCAACAGTCTGTTAAAGGCCATATGGGCAATTTTTGTCTTTGTGCTTGACTGAGCATACCTGTGCGTGTGGGGGAGCGGCAGTGTAGTGGTTAGTAGTGAACTGCCGATCTTGCAGGCGTAGGCCCTCCACGTACGAGCCGATGTCCCAGATTAAGGCCACTGCCATCCCACGATGCACAAAGCAGTCAGCGAGAACTCCATTGCCACGTAACGATGTCGAGTGTTGAAACGGGAGCGTGCGCATGTGTGAGAGTGTTGCGTCTACTTATCTCCGCTCTCGGCTGGTTTGTCACGCTGCGCCGAAAACTTAATTTTCCTGTCCACCCCATGGCCACCTTTGTCTGGAACGATGAGTCTCGCAAGCGACCTGGAAGCCCTGGACAGGCATCGCTTGGGAACAATTATTTCCATTATAATAACATTCAAGATTTGAAGTTTTTGTGACTGCAAGGATTCATACTCTTTGGTTCTTTCGGTAAAGTCACGTAGATGAAAAAAAAAATGAAAATAACTAAATGAAATCACGTGATTTAATTTACTTATTTTCATTTTATTATTTTTAATTTTCATCTACGTGACTTTACCAAAAGAACCAAAGAGTCTAATAACATTGTCTAGCCGGGCGTGCTTACCGAGCCTCAGGACTCTCGTTCAAGAGGGTCCTGCTAGGATTTTTCACAGGAGGAAGTCTTTTCTGTGACCTGAGAGCTCCTTGTGCTGGTCGGTTTGAGTCATGGCCACCTCCGATTTATCACGGTTTGCTACTTGTGGTGCGAAATAAGTTAAACATACGTACATGACGAGTCGTATCGAGATGCTTATAAATGTCCACGCGATAAGCAACATCGTTGAACTGTCATTTGTGGCCAGGTCACGTCTGAAAAATAAGTTAATAGCTCGGTGAGCTTCACCTGGTAAGATAAAACATTGTTTAGTTTTATTTGTATATTTTATGAAGTGATTAGTTTACCTTTCCTACACTTTGTACTCGTGTCGTGTTTGTTGTTGTAACGTTCTGACCCGCCCCGACTGTACGTCTGTAAAAAAGAGCTTCATAGCTCATCGGATTCCGCCATTATAAATGCAGATTTTGAATCTGACATTTTCAGGAGGGTCCTGCTAAGCTTTCATAATAGCGGCGGCGATGCGGTGCCTAATCCCATTTCTGTAACGTGCGAGAAAATCTTCAACTCAAGTTTGGACCGTGAAGACTTTAAAGAGAGCAGCAGATGCTAGGGGATGCTGTTTTGGGACGGAGCTTGGGAACCACTGCGGCGTGTGGCTACCATGCAGCAGCAGCAGCAGCTGCTGGGCCTAGCGAAGGGTGGAATGCAAGTGTCGGAGCGTGGTGCCTTCTGAATCGGTTTTGGTCGCGATGACACCTTGATCTTGATTTACCCAGGAAAGCTTTGCACAGTTTTTTCAATAGGAGGGGGTTGTGGGAAGGGGGGTGTCCAGCTTTATTGGGATGATTGGTTGGCTTCCTGTGGTGATGGAAACCGGGAGACCCAGAGTGCCCAGTTTCCTGCCACTTATCATACAATGCATAGCGACATCGTATTCAATATAATATGCATTATTTCGGTGAAAATAAATATGCGTGTCGCTGCCAAAATAGTCATAATATTCGGCAAAATAACATTTTAAGCCCATAGGCTTCAGGATTGCTCGAACATGTAACATGAGGCAACTCGGCAGCGTTTGTTGAACAGGTCACACGCAGCTGATGGGGCTCTGAGAAGTTGAAACCGCTGCAGCGTTTTTGCTGCTTCAACAAATGCGTTCTGGAACACGTTGGTCCAGAAGGCTGTGGGGACGATGAGACATGATGGGCTTATGTCGTTTTACGATTTGGCAACGGTGGCGAGTTGACCGTGGCGTCGTGCCGACGTTGTTCGACATCAGAGATTTCGTTGCGAGATCTCCGCCGTCCTCCAGCGAAGAGGGCGAGCTGCAGCGACGTGTCCCCCCTTCACAGGGCAGGCCTCGATCGCTCCCCAAGAATTTCCTGCGGCTCGTTTCCCGTGGGGAGTCGTGGCCGGGTTTTTCCGGGATGCGTCGGCTGCACGGAATAAAACGAGGGACAGACGCCCGACCCTAAATAATTCAGTCGCGTCACCTTCAGCGGAAGTTTCTGCTTTGAGCTGAAAGCTCTTTCTACTCTCCAAGTCATAGCGGCGGGGGGGGGGGGGGGGCTGTCTGTGTGTGGTGTAATGCCCATGAGCTCGGCAACTCTCTCACCCCTCTCGTCCCTCACTCCACTCCCCTCCAGTAGTCAAAGCCCACGCTCAACCTCTGCTCATTGAGGTCACTCCTCTGCTGCTTCCTGCCCCTCTTTCTTCCTGCCCACCATTTGGAACTCCATTTATCAAACTCCATGATGTCAGCTAACTGCCCTTTTTCACATCTCGACTCAGGATTTGTATCTTCTACGTATGACCGATCCCTCTAATGTACTCATCATCATCATCAGACATGATCAGTCCACTTCTGGACGAACACCTCCTTGGTCCTGCGGTGGACAATCTCCTCAGTTGCGTTCATTTCTTTGGCTGCCCCTGCCGTCGTAACGTCTAGACCAGCGGCCATCGTCGCCTCTGACTTGCGTTGCGCTTTAACCGCGTTACTTGCCGCTTTATCGTTCGTTGTGGGTGGTGTTGGGCCGATCCTCCCGGGGGTTTTGCTGCTGTTCCTCTAAGTTGCTGATTCCCAGGCGCTTGTGAAAAATGCACTGATGTCACGTTTTTTTGTTTTTGAGAATCACGGTTCCTGAGCGCAAGCCCCAAAAAATATCCACGCGCCTATCGGCCAGCAACAAAACATCGCCGTACTGAGGTGTCATCGCTAACCGTGGATGTCGTCGTCTTCCCTTCCCCCGCGTAGGAATACAAGAGATTCCGGAGAACATCAAGTCCTGCAAGCTGCTCACGATGCTCGAAGCTAGCGTCAACCCGATATCCAAGTACGCGCTCGGGGGGCCCCCCCCCTTCTCACCCCCTCCCCTCTCCTCTCCCCCATCACCGTCCTGTAATTGCACGCGGAATTCCGGTGATCGTGGGAGCACTGGTTGGCATTCCGCTCTGATAAAGCTTGGTGGTCTCTTTCTCTCTTAGCCCGGGGCTGCTTATTTGCGTGCATTTTTTGTCGCCAAACCACGTTGCCGTTTCTAACCAAAGCAGCACCCGCGTCGTGTTACCCCCTGCCCGGCTGGTGTCCATAAAATGTATTGTGTTGCGACGATTCGGATTAGTGAACTCCTTCAAATGAATTTTTTTATTACCGCCTCCGAATTTCCATTGTCAAGCAGAGTTATGAGAAGGGAAATGGGTGGGGGTGGGAATACAGTCCGGGGATACAGTTAGTTCGTTATTTTTGTTTGTTTACACAGCGGCGCCTCTTACAAACAGATAATCTTGGCTGCGGAGACAAAATCTCTGCATCAACATCTCAACAAAAGTCCCCATACTTTCAAGCAAGAAGCTTGGCCTTCCTAAATGCGCATAATTATGGTTGTGATGGAACCACGCGAGCGATCCGATGCGATCCTACGTCGCAAATTCACGTGACACCCGTGATTGGTATATATCGACAAGATCGGAGCTCATTCTCTTTGGTCCACTAGAAATTGAGCCGGCACCGTCCATCAACTCGGTCTATCAGTTGACTTGAAATTCTAATTGTATACTTTTTTTTTTCCGTCGTCAATTACTCGGGCCTACTTAAGAAATAGCGGTCGCCCCCACATCCTACCTCCCGAAGGCAGGAAACCCCCTCGACGCCACGCTGATTTTGTCTGACATCACCGGCCCCCGCCCGTCACCTCCCGTCCAGCGGCACGCATGGGAAACAGATGCGAGACTTTTATCCCCCCCCCCCACTATTTTCACGTTATCCGTTGCGATGCGCGTTCCGTCATGGTAAACGCGCGTGACGCTGGTGCACCCCTCCTACCCCCACCCCCCCCCCCACTGTTTATGGCACAGGCTGCCTGAGGGAGCCACTCAGCTCACCTGCCTGACGGAGCTGTACCTGAACGACGCCTTCCTGGAGGCCCTACCAGCCACCATGGGCAGGTGAGCAGCTGTTGTCGCTAAACGTGGAGGCGTTCATGAAAGGCATTTTGTAAACCTGGGTTGGTAGTGGTGCACAAGCACACATACCAAAAACACTCAACATGTTCCTAAATAACACTCTGTGGCCTTAAAAGGAGAATGTATTTATAAATGTTGACGTTTTGGGCAGTGGTCCTTGTTCGTAGCAAATTTAAAAAAATGATGCCGCACGATGATTCAGGTGCCATGAAGACGGACCATTGTGCAAAACGTCGCCTATCGTATACTTTTTGCTTTTCGGGCCAGAGTGCCGTTGATGAACGTGAGTTTCTATGGTTACCACCGTCGTGCCATTCGACGTCTTGTAAATGTCTCCTTGTGCCATTCTGTGGCCACCAAACGGGCTTGATGACAGCGAGTTGGTGTGGACAGTTTTAAACAGGAGAGCGAGCGAGACGAGAGCGTCGTCGTGGTGCGATGGTCACGCACACGCGCGTGTGTGTGCGTGCGCACCGCCGTTGCCTGTGGGGTCGGAGCGCCGAAGCCGGTGCTGCCGCGGTTCAATTAGCGAGGGTCTTTGTCGCACACCGCGCAGACGGGGGACGGTCTTCCCGGCCCGCTCGCACGTCTGGAAAGCCGTCTCGTGGTAACTTTGCCTCGCACCGCAATGCCCGCCTCCATTCCCGCACGGCCGGCGGTTAAGGTTCGGAAAGGAAATGAACATCGATTTGTGATTTGATTGATGAAGGAGGCCTCTCTGCCACGTCGCGTCGGGCGGTCCATGTCGTGTTAGAAGTGGATATTTGTTTTTTGTTTCATGACGGGAAACAGATAGCCAGAGTCGAATGTGACATTTTTTTTCGTAAATATCGGTTGTGATCGCCTCAGTGTTGTCAAAACACATTTTTTTTTATTCGTTATATTTATTTTTAAAAGCACTTTGCGGAATTTGATATCTTGCCTCTGTTTTTGATTTACTTGCCATAAATACAGAAAAGCAGCTGCGTTCTTTTCTAGCAGCTATGCCTACGGTAGAATGATCCAGAATTAGAATTTTTCCAGTTACATTTAGCCTTGCGTAGGAATAGCAGTGGTACATTGAGCAACAGAACAGCAGGTGTCCGAATCCTGATGACACGAGTTCAAATCCCAGTCATGGTCCATATCATCTCATTTATCCAGACCCCCTATTAGCGATGTCATTCTTGTAATCATCGTAATGCAGTAGGAACGGTAAAGAGGAAGGCCGAGAAATAATTGTACAGACGAGGATCATCAACGAACGATCGAAAAGGTAATTTTTATAACGTGGAATGACATGACCCAAATTGGCCGGAGATCGGAAATTCTGGCTCGGCCCGGGAGGTAATTAATGGTACGAAAGGAATATAATTTAATTCGGAGATCCGCGCAAAATTTCTGCCGTTAAATCGACCGTGTTTTAAATGGACGACGGACCCTCACAATGCGAGCTCTGTGCTAATATTTCTATATTAACAAAGTCACAGTTGCTGAGCACGGGCCCCAAAGGCCTATAACACAAAGTGGTCATCAACAGAGGGCACTTGTGATAAAAGATTAGGTAATAATTCCACGTGTTTATGGAAATGAGCAAGGCAAAATAGTCGAGGGGGGAGGAATTCCAAATCCAGAAAACAGAGAAGCACTGCTTGTAACAACAGGAACTCATAACCGTGCAACACGATTCTTGAATCGAGCGAAAATATTGGAACTTCGGAACTCCTCGCATCGCCTCATTTCCCCGAGTCGAGCAGCGTGCGGAAAGAAGAAGGAAGATAAATATTGTTGTGTCCTCTGATGTGGTGGCTGAACAGAGTGTGATGAGAGGAAACTGCCTGTGTGGTCACTCCACTTAGGCCATGCCACTTGTGGAGGTCTCAAAGCGTAAAGTCCTTTAGCACGGCAAAGCACGGTAATAGCAACAAGAGAACGACACGGAAGCAACGTGTCGATATTTGAAGTAATTTTTTATTCTATTTTTTAGTTTTTAACTTTATTTCTTGTTCGTATTTTAACTGTGATCCTCATAAACGTGTTATTGTTAGTTTCAATGTTAGGTTAGTAACACTTAGTCCATGCTCTCTCCATTTGCCTGAGTGAACAGTGGGTTGAATTTTTTTCCCACTGCTGGCTCAACAACTTTAAGAAACTAAAACGGCACCACAGTGTTGCGTTGCCCGTCCTCTCCCTGCTGGCATGTCACCGCCACCGCGGTTGTGTTCCCCCGCTTGTGCCTGTGTGTGTGTGCAGGCTGACGAAGCTGCGCGTGCTGGAGCTGCGAGAGAACCACCTGCGCACGCTGCCTCGGTGAGCGACGCTCTTTTATCAAAACGTCCTCTCTGCAAAAACGCTCGACTCCTCCGTCGTTTTTTGTTGTTGTTGTTTTCCCCCCCCCCCCCCCCCCCATCTCCCTCAACGAGCCCCACATTAATCCGTGGCGTTTGTATCCCGATCGGCCGGCGTTATGAGCATCGGCGCCAGGGTCTGACGTCAGCGCGCGTGCGAGAGAGAGAGAGAGAGGGAGCCGCTCCTGCGATGAATCGATCGGTCTAGCCGGCTGCGTACGAGTTTCCAGTGAAGACGATTATGATGATGATGTTTTTTGCTGCTTATGTTGCTGCTGCTGTCGCTGCGTATGATGATGACCCTGCGTGATCCAGCTCGCACAGCGTGTGGGGAGCGGGAGCGTAGACGCGCTGCATCTCAGTTTCAGTCGTTAAGCACATCGGGGATGCTGCCCGTGGGGAAAGGGTCAGCAGCGCACTGGACGTGCAATACAGAGGTCACTGCTTAGATTCCAGCTCCCGACGTGGCAGATGAAACAACGGTGCAAGTTTCTTAAATCCCTCCCCCCCTACTACCTCTGTCTACCCAGCAGTGTGAATGTCTTCACCATAGTCCATAGTCGGGTCGTGTGTCGTGGGGTTGAGTGTGGCTACTCCTTCCTCTTCCAAGACATCTGGCTGATTCGGAAGAGCGGGCCAAAAATCCCTCTCTCTAGATCTCGCTCGAGTGGGGGAGGGCTCTTCCTCGAGCGGTGGTGTGAGCGAGGCAGTTGCAGGGACTGCACTTGCACCTTTGTCCTCCTCTAAAACGCATCGGGGGAAATGAGTCGTCTCTTCGCAGGCCGACACGCGCGTTCGCGAGCGATCCCAGTCGCTCGCTTCCCCGACGAGGTCAGGAGTGATGCTTTTGATTCTCTCCTCTGTTGACATGTCGGGCGCTTGAAGTATTACGGGGGGGGGGGGGGGTGCGTGTGAAGCGACGGCAGGCGCGCAATTTAAATGATTAATTAACGAGGCAGGCGGAGGATGTCGACGACGCGTTTCTCATGCGAGGCGTCTTTTTCATCTCGACCTGCGGGGGGGGGGGGGACTGGGGGGGCGGGGGGGCAAGGGGGATATTTGTCAAACAAGAAAGCTTAAGAGAGGTCGCTATCAAAGCAGCGCTGTCGCGCTCCCGGCCTCGTCCTGTCTCCGTAGCTAATTGGCGCGGAACCTGGCTACGTGTGCCTACTGCAGTCTCCCAGCATCCCAGAAAAATATTGGGTTGGTCATAATCCCGATAAAGAGAGAAAGAGAGTTCAACAGCATTGGTTCAAGCAGGCCTGACAGCCTGATGAGACACTGAACGTGAAAAAAAACATGGTCCAGAGTTGTTCGCTTGCGTTCGAACCGATGACTCCTGATTTGATACACTCCAAGAAGGCCGTGCGCCTGATGGGATGAGTGTAAAACACATTTTGGTTGTTAGGAGGAGGAGGCGGCGGCATGTTGTTGTCTGCCTATTTCTCTTGTTACTTATATTCTCCACAAAGGACGCAAATGATTACTTTCCATGAAGCCCCGGTCATTACAACCCAACCCAGATTGCAAATTATTTGCAACGCGGGTTGGGTTTGTATTGCGGTTAGGGTGTGGGGGAGGTGGTGAATCATGACCTGTGTGTGTGGTCCATGGGGTTTCCCCACACGATCTCCATGCAAAAGAAGGCGGGAGAGGTGTTAAGGTTATCCTTTGCCCCCACACATTTATTCAGGTTCATTGCTGGTCACATCCCTTTTCCTCATCCATCCACATTTTATTTATTTCAAATCATCAAAGCACAAACCCTTGTCTGCTGCGAGCGCTGGCCGTAACGGAGCAGCCGTCGCGTGCAATCTTAGAGGGATTCGACGCTGGCAAACTCTGGACCAGCTTCGACATACGATGTCTCGTCAACAGTTCCAGGCTCGCTTGAAGCAACGCTGAACTGCCCGATGTTTGTTTTGTAGGCGAGAACGCTTTGCGTTCGACGTGGGTCCCAGTTCGACGCGCAATTTTACAATGCGTGACACAATAATCACGAGCGTCGTTGTGGAGGATTATAGATAAGCAGAGAGGTGTGTGGAACGGCACAATTGAACACCGCCATCTGTAAATCTGCATTCTCTCTTTATGCCTTGTGCGAGCGAGCGTGCACACCCTTATTTGTTTGGCCTTAAAGTGGCACGTAGCCTGGCACAAGCGCCCTGGTGACGGCGGTTGTTGTTATTTGTTTGCGTGTTTACGTTTCCAATTACTTTGTTGCTGTGCACACAGCTTAGCCTGATTGCCTCATTAACGGCCAGTTCCTAATTTAGGTTTAATTGCTCCCGCACTACAAAGCACGGTTGTGTAACCAGATTACGCTTCCGCCATGGTCTATTATAAATAGCCATGATGAAGCCAGGTGACGGAGGGGGGGGGGGGTTGTTCAGGGGTCGGCGCTACCGAAGGCCCGGCTACTGCAGAGAGCCCCGATTCGAATCGGGAGTTTTTTTGTTTGGTTTCGTCAGCGTCGGCGGACTCCGTGGTCGGTAATTTTCCGTACGCGCTAGCATCTTCGCCGCCACAAAAAATCTAACGCAGGGAGGTGGGGCTCTCTGGCGGTCGTGGCTTTGTGGGTCATATCCGGGTTCAGCCGCCCGCGATTAAAAGCCGGTTCTCTCGGGTGGAAAGTCGCGGGTCTCTTGACTCGCTCATCAGTGACTGCTCAAAGGAAAATATCTCTTTTCGAAATAAGAGATATTTATTTGTCTGTGAAGTCGTTAATTTTACTGGATATGATCAAATACCTGTCTGAGAGAAGTAAATGTTTATTTTACTGTTGTGTCGTGAGCGTTGTTCTCTCGCAGGGGCGAGTAGAAAATTGGCAGCACCTCTGGTGCGTGGAAGCGAACTCGGGAGTCATTTTGTGATTTCTCTTCGTGCGAGCCATTGTCTAACACGCGGGAAGTGATGCACTTGGGACTGTAAGACCTAATTTTATTGGTGCATCTGTTCATGCAAATAGGACAATGAGAATAAAACTGGGAATAAAAAGAGACCAAATAAATGCATGGGTCAGGGGAAGCAACTCGCAATTGAAACGTTGAGAATTTACATCCCAATCGGGTAATTGATTAGGCCTATCATCCCTACAGAGTCGATAAAACCGGTATCACGTTGTGGCGAAGGCAACAATCATTTTCTGATGGGTCAACTCAAACCCGCCATAGGAATGTGGAATTTCCACCACGAGTCTTGCTGCCTTTTCCAAGCAGATATCTTGATTGCCTCATTAAGCAGATGTCAGAGTGTTGACGTTTGCAGGAATGTATATTCTCGTGCAAATTGTACATCTTTGCTATATCTATACATTTTATTTCTTAACTTTTTTCCTTAACTCTTCTTTATCTTACTCTGATATAATTTATTGTATTTTTGTTGATGATGTAACTTGCTGACCCGCCCCTACCTGACCTCTGTGATAATGAGCTTCATCGCTCGTAAGATTCCTCCACTATAAAGAAATATTCTGATTCCGCGTTTTTTTTATGGCTGTCACTAGCAGGTTAAAACCACTCGTTTGTTTCAGCATAAATTAGTGGCATGTTCTTTAATCTACGCCCAGCCGCTGTTCCTCTAATATGAAGTGTGGTCGGGGTGAAAAGTTAGAGGGCAGGGAGGGGTCAACAGTCATCATTAACTCGTTAAAACGTTTAGTATTTGTGCCATTCCTTTAGCACGAGGCCTTAGCCGAGGGTCCCGTGTTTCCTAGATGAGCATCGTGTGCAGTAGCTTCACAGCAGGGGGGCAATGCTGCTGTGTGGCTTCATGCGTCGAGTTAAATTCGCGAGTAATTTTCAACCTTGGCAAAAATGTTGACGGTGACACCTGCACACCCCTCACATGGCTTCCGCTTTTTCGGACAACCTCGCGCGAGAAACCGGAGGACGCGGAGAAAAAAATCCATGTGACCACGGGAGAACGTGCAAACTCCAAACATACAGCAGGCGTCAGGGTCTGGATCGAACTCACGACCTCCTGCAAACCAGGCGAGGGAGTTGACGACTCGCCACCGTGGCGCCCTAGACGCCACTGTACCGCGCACTTCCCACGTCGTTGTCACGAGTTGCAATCCGACTCGCGGCCTGTCCGCTTCTGCGCGCTGATCCCCCGCGGATGCCGGCACGAGCCGTTCCGTGCCCCCTCGCCGCCTTCACGGTCCACCTGCCCCTGCTTTGTGTTGACATTCCTCTTTTGAATATTTGCGTTGGCGTCGGTTTGGAAACGGCTTTGTAAGGAATGGGGGGGGCGGTGGGTTGAGGGGGGGGGGGGGTGACGAGGTTGAGGGTAGCCGGGGGCGAGAGATGGAGGAGATGGAGCGAGAGGGCGGTGCTCCTGTTTCACGTTGTTGCCACGTTGCCTCTCCCCGGCCGGGAGCGCGTTAATAATGCAACGACGGCCGCTTTGGCTACGATCGGGCAAGAGCCCTCGTCATCGTCGAGAGCGGGAGTCTCGTGTTCATGGGAGATCCTTGGGCAACGCGTTATAAACGAAGTTTCTGGAGCGGCAAGTTAAAACGCAGGAATCGCCGTCGTGAGCTGCGATCCACACACCGCTACGTGCCCTACCAAGCCATTGCCATCTCTCACTCTCTCCTGATGAGGCTACGCATCTGTTACCTCCACACGGGCCGATTTAATCGCTCCATCTCTGGGCCAGCCGGTACCTCTGTGGTGTTCCACCACCCCCTTCTTTTTTGGCTACCAGGTCCTCCTTGGTCTCGACCCCCCACACTGATGCCCCCCCCCCCCCCCCCACGGGTCACTCTTGGCAACTGAGACTCATCCCTGGTCTCTTAAGAGTCCTCGCCTGGTTAAACAAAATCCACTTGAACTTCTCGAGACCACGTCCTGCCCAAACCTACTTTTTTTAGCCGCCCATACGACGTCTTTAGCGTCTTGCGTATGTTCTCCAATCCACGCGTTGTCCTCCGCTTTCTCTCGTGTAATGAAGCTACTC